CTCTCTCTCTCTCTCTCTCTCTCTCTCTCTCTCTCTGTCTGCTTCCTGTTTGTGGATAGGGGTGTAAACTCTCAGCCACTGCTTCAGCATCTGTTATATCTGCCTCTCTGTCTGCTACTATGCTCCCTGCCATGATGGACATGGGCTCTACTCCTCTGGAACTGGAGCCCCTAAATCAGATGCTTCTTCATTAAGTTGGCTTGGTCATAGTAATAGGACATGGAGCAAAGAAACTGCAGACTGAATTTCCTGAAACCATGAGCAAAAAGGAGGCTTCATTGCTGAAGTTGTTTCTATTGGGTGTTTCTAATGGGACCAAAAGTAATATTATGACATTTTGTAAGCCAGAAAGTGATGCGAAGGTAACCAGCAGTTGTGGAGGATGGTGCTGTACTCTGGACCTTACAACTGTCAGGCTCTTTAATGGAATGCACAACTAAACCCTCAAGGTTCCTCTTGACCAATTTTGTTTGAAGTCTTAGAAGTAAATCTCTCAAAGACACACTTAGTGAAGTTAAAAACTGTATATAATGGTCTTTTTCACTTACTGGGCTCATAGGATTATTTTCTTTCTTTTTTTGGGATTATTTTCTTTTGAATAAATACATGAGTTAATGTCAGTTGTTATTAATCTTACAATGAACAACCCAGGCTTCTATTGTAAATCTGATCACTTATGGGAAAAAAAGACTTTCCATTTGTAGTTTAAATGGTAATATTTTACTTTCCTGATGTTCATATGACCTGGCCTTCATTATCATTCTCCTCATGGCTTTAATCAATCTGAATGATTTTTCAATCTACAGACCCCAGGGTTGCAGGGAGCCCTTCAGAGACCACATTAAATCCTTGTAGCAAGTATAAAAAAATAAGTGCAATTACAGATGCCCATCATAATGGGACCAAAAGCAATATTATGACATTTTGTAAGCCAGAAAGAATATTGTGTGTCTTTTTTTCTCATTATGAAAAGATATGCTCTTTTCATGGGTTCCTTTTTATTGCAAAGGCAAAGGAAATGAAAAGATAATTCATGAGCAGAGTTGAAAATGCAAATGAGAAATCTTGCCTTGGCTAATGCTGTACACACCAGAGACCCCTCTCTTTTGGGTGGTAAAATCTTTTTAAATGAAGAAGAGATTGGGCTGGCGTAGGTGATACAGGTGTTTTTGTGTGTGTGTGTGTGGGGGGGCTAGTTTTAAACACCTCTTTGTCCTAATCATATTGTTAGTTTTATTTTTAACAGCAGGCTGAGCCTGGTGGTACAGGGCCATAATCCTAGCTGCTCAAGAGACTGAAGGAGGAGGACCACAATGTCAAGGCTTACCTGGGCTAGGGAGTAGGTTCAAGGCCAGCCTAGGCAACTTAGTGAAGGCCAGCCACAGAACAAATGTTGCAAGCAAGGATTCAATTAAAAGACTAATGCAGCTCAGTGGTACAGTGCTTGCTTAGCACCTATAATGCCCTAGATTCAATTCCTAGAACCATGTAAAGAAGGAAGTGCAATAAGTTTCCTTAAAATTAAAAGGACGAGGGCTAGGGATAATGTTTATTTGGAGGCTATTTGCCTTGTATACATGAAGGCCTTGGATTTAATTCCCAGTGTTGTGGGGCTTGGGGGGTGGTGAGCAGATATGAAAGGGATGGCAAATTAATGATAGAAAGTTTGATAAGGAATTGTATTTTTTCTTAATTTTAAAGGATAATAATATTGGGAAATCTTGACACCTTATGCCTTTCTGATATGCTATAAAAAGAACATGGTATCACTTCGAGTTAGAAAGCCCCCCCCCCCCCCGCCCCCGAAACTAGGGGTTAGTTACAAAATTACTAGCCTGTATTTTTTAAGTATCACAGATCAAAGAAAGGCTTGGAGGGAAGGAAGGTAAATAGAATATGATTCTGGATGGTAGAATGCCATCTGCTGCAGGATGGGAGATATAAGAGTCATAAGATGCTGAGCATGGTGGCTCATAACTAATATCCTGGCATTGAGGAGGTTGAGACATGAGGAAGATTTAGAGTTCAAAGCCAGCCTGGGGTACATGGCAAGTCCCTGTCTCAACAACAACAAACAACAAAATCAAAACAAATCCAAAAGAAATAACAATTGCTTCCACGAATTACGAAAATATAACCATTATTAGAAAACAGATAAATTTGAAAACAAA